AAATCTGTGTGTTTGAGTTATCTATGACCACATGATTTCAGTCTATTGCATAACTGGGAGTTATCTTTATTTAGGTGAAGAGTAGCCAAGGGGCTCCTGGCTTCTAAAAACGCAGTTTTCTGGTGAGTGATCTGAGAATGTCACCTCTTGAACCTCCGTTGGCTCAGTGGTAAATTGGCAACCATGGTGCCACCTTCCTAGTTAGGCTGTATTCAGTCCCAGGTGCTAAGTGCTTGGTGGGCACCCCACTGCTTGGCCCCAAATCCCCACTTCTCCAGGGCTCAGTGGGTATGTCCGGGTGCCCCCATATGAGGACTAGCTCTCCTGTTCTGTCTTTAGCACCCCCGAATTTTCCTGCACTCACTCCATGCCACTGTCTTATGGTGGCCAGTGTTAAGGCTGCACTGCCCTGATCCCGGCAGGGCTCCATCCCTGTGAGTGGCCTGAATGACCGAATGGCCAAGCCTTGCTTGTCTTTCACACTCAGAGAGCTCCTACATCCCGTAGTGACGCTGAACCCTACCCCTCAGCCTGGCTTGGACTGAGGCGACAGATGCACTCAGGCTCAGCATGTGTTATTTCTCTGTCCATGATCCCAGCTCCACCCATGAATAAGGTGAATCATTGAAGCACTGAGACTCTCAGGCCTTTGAGAGTAGCCCTGAGGGGGGCACCTGAGACCACCCGCCTCCTTTCCTGCCTGGGTAGGTGGATCTTGAGGCCTGGTGTGCATCATGTCCTGTATCAGGAGGAGAGGAGAAGGATCTGAAGACATCTGACTGCCCAGCGTAGGCACTGGCTGGAGTGGGCTGCCTTTGGTTGTCTGGCCACTGCAGACCATGTCCCAGTGTTGCATGTTGGTGGGAAAGTGAATCCTGAGGACGAGACTTGCAGCCTTTTGTTCAGGAAGAACTGCTCCCCACCAGATGCCCCACGGAGACCCGTGGCTGAGAATGTGAGCGGGGCTTGTACGGGGACTTGCGGGTCACTGGGATTGTTGAAATGGAAATCCTAGGTTTCCATGGTTTCTGTGCTGATTCCTACCACTTCTGTGACTTGGAGGGCAGTGGGGTCCTGGGGCCTTTTCTGCCTGCTGCACCAGGGCCGAGCGGGGCGGGGGGCGGCACCGGATGCCCTTTACCTGAGGAAGGCCGCAGGAGGGGGCAGTTTGCTGAGCCTTCTGCAGGGACCTGACCATCGTGGGCATAGGGCTCGGTTCAGCAATCCTGTCCTTCCCGCACTGTCTCCTTCCTCTTTTTTCGGATTTCACTTCTCTGAGGGCATGCTCAGTTGCTCAGTTGTGTCCAGCTCTTTGCGACCCCATGGACTATAGCTCACCAGGCTCCTCTGTCCGTGGAATTTTCCAGGCAAGAATACTGGAGTGGGTTGCCATTTCCTTCTCCAAGGGACCTTCCTGACCCAGGGACTGAACCCATGTCTCCTGAATTGTCAGACAGCTTCTTTGGACTTCTCTACTGAAGAGGAAAAATTTGGTCATAGCCAGATTTATGAGTGGTTTCTTTACTACAGTTCTGAGTATGGGTTTGAAGCATTTCTTATTTAACTGACTAAATGAAATGGAATCAAGGCACTCCCTGGAGAGGGTGGGCAGCCTGCCTCCAACCGCTGTTGGATGACTCAAAGGGTGTGATCCCAAGAGGCACTCCTATCTGAACCTCGAGGACACCCTAGTCCTGCTGTCTGTAAATTAGGGTAACTTGTACAGCTCCTCTGAGCATATTGGTACAGAAAGCCACCTCCCACGGGATTGTCTCTGTATCTAATGGGAGGGTCCAGCGGATTTGTCAGAATGATGTTTGTTAATCAGACACCAGGCACGTTTGTGTTTGTGAATCTTCACGTAGAAACTAAACACAGGCACAGACCTCAGGGACGTTGAAGGTTGGGCTCCAGACCATTGTCATAAAGCAATTATCGCCTCAATAAAGTGTCTCAGATATGTTTTTGGTTTCCAAGTGCATATAAAAGTTATATTTATACTATTCAATTCAGCTCAGTCGCTCAGTCGTGTCTGACTCTTTGTGACCCCATGGACTGCAGCATACCAGGCTTCCCTGTTGATCATCAACTCTCAGCTTTTTCAAACTCACATTCATTGAGTTGGTGATGCCATCCAACCATCTCATCCTCTGTTGTCCCTTCTCCTCTCTCCTTCAGTCTTTCCCAGCATCAGGATCTTTTCTAGTGAGTCAGTTCTTTGCATCAGGTAGCCAAAGTATTGGAGTTTCAGCTTCAGCATCAGTCCTCTCAATGAATATTCTGGACTGATTTCCTATGGGATGGACTGGTTGGATCTCTTTGCAGTCCAAGGGACTCTCAAGAGTCTCCTCCGAAACCACAGTTCAAAAGCATCAATGCTTTGACGCTCAGCTTTTTTTTATGGTCCAACTCTCACATCCATACATGACTATTTGAAAAACCATAGCTTTGGCTAGGTGGACCTTTGTTGGCAAAATAATGTCTCTGCTTTTTAATATGCTGTCTAGGTTGGTCATAACTTTCCTTCCAAAGAGCAAGCATCTTTGTAGTCTGTTAAGTATACAAGAGTGTTATGTCTTTAAAAAACAAACAAACAAACAGTGTTCATACCTTAATTTAAAAATACAAAATGAAGAAGTAATCACAATAGTAATATCAAAGAGCACTGAGTACAAATTACCATCACAAATATAATAATGAAAAAGTTTCAAGTATTGTGAGAATTATCAAAATGTGACACAGAGATACAGAGTGAACCAGTGCTGTGGGAAATGATGCAGTAAACGTGCTGGATTCAGAATTGACATAAACCTTCCATTTGTTAAAAAAAAAAAGTGTCAAGTGCAGTAAAATTCTGGAGCGTACTGTGTGTGGAAGGGCAGGTCTCAACCCAAAACTCCGTTTTCCTTGTCTGCAAAAAGATGCAGTACACTGCCTTAATTTGGTGATTACGGGATTTTCTCTGTGAGCCCGCGTGCCTGGGCTTGGCTGTTGTGGGGAGCCTGGGTGGTGGTTTGTCACTGCCCCAGCAGAGGTAGGCACACGTGAGCACATCCCAGTGCCACGGCAGCGTCGTGCCCCCCCCCTTCCTTGTTTCTCCAGGGGTGTCACAGTGGGATGGAAATGGTGCTGGGGTCCCTCCTGTCTGCACTGCAGTCTGAGAGGAGGGCATGATCTGTCATCTGGGGAGGCCTGGCCTCTGTTGATTCTGGTGCCTATATATTTGCCCCTTGAGGAATGGCAGACACACCCTGCCGGGAGAGCGATGCCTCTGTACAGGGCTTCCCAGGAGGCACTAGTGGTAAAGAATGTGCCTGCAATGCAGGAAACACAAAAGACACAGGTTCTATTCCTGGGTTGGAACATCCTCTGGAGGAGGGCATGGCAACCCACTCCAGGTTATTCTCGCCTGAGAATCCAATGGAAAGAGGAGCCTGGTGCACTATAGGCCATGGGGTTGTAGAAAGTCAGACATGACTGAAGTGACAGCACGCACACGTGTCATTGATAGAAAGAAACGCTGCCATCATTGCAGCAAGTCTCCCAAACCACCAAAGCTGAGGTTCCCCAGACCCTCTGCCGCATCCCCCATAAAGTGAGTCTTCATTGGTTGGGGCACGGCTGAAGGATCTGTGATGTTTCTTGTGCTGAACAGTGGGGCAGTGGATGTTGACTGTTGGTGCTTGAATTAAGCTTTCCCCTGCCCAGAATTCCTCACTGTTAAGAGTCGAGCGATCATGCTCAGGAGCCTCACTCAACCCTGCACCTCTGCAGGTGGTGTGGCCTTCAGGGCACTCTGGCCCCGACTGGGGGTGGGCACGCACACGGGGCTTGCACACACCACTGGCATGTGCTCAGCCATCGTAGGTCACACCCAGCCCGGTCCTATCCCAGAGCCCCGGGCACCGTCCACGACCTGGTCCTCCCCAGAAGCTGCTTCCGAAAGGAGTAGGCAGGCTGTCAGAGCTGCTGGTTGCCTGGGCTGCTTCCTCGCCTGCCCTGTGACTCTGAGGATGCCCCCTGGGTTTAATGTCCACACATAGCAGGCCCTGTGGCTCCCCTGAGCAACCAGTGTGAACCTTTGATGAAACACAAAGTATTTTTTGGCACTTTGAAGTAAAAAGTTGTATTGGTTACAATTCTGGTATCACTATACTTGTACACTGGAATTGAGCAGGTAGATGATTCATGGTGGTAACAAAGAATGGACAAAAACTTTTTCTTAAAGATGCAGCACAACATATAATGAAGGTGACCTTTTGTGTAGACAAGTGAATATGTAAACCTGTTTGTGACTCAAGAAAAGATTTCTGTGTCTGGTCTGAGTGGCTGTTACTTCCTCAGACTAGAGCAAGGTGCAAGCACTCCGACCCCAAAGTTGACCACCAGTGCCTTGAGAAGAGATGGATTACTAGGGCAGAGGCCTCAGACCAAGTCCCTGCGGCTATTAGGCAGCCTGGGTTCTTTCAGTCTTGTTCTCCTTGCTCACTCCGTGATGAGGAAGAAGCCTCGATCCTGGGTCCCAGCCTTTCTTTGTTCCATATGCTTCCTGAGCACCTGTGGTCGGCTGGGCAGTGTTCTTGACCTTGGGGAACCAGCCAGGCACGACTCCCTGCTGGCACTGACGTGAGAGAAACAGATGGGACATGGACAGTGGTCATTTCACCCAGTAAGAGGATGGGCTTCGAAAGGGTCATGCTGGGTCAAAGAAGTCAGACACCCAAGGATGTGGAGTGTGCGATTCCATGTACATGAAGTGTCCAAAGTAGGCAAATCCATAGACATAGAAAGTAGATGAGTGGTTGCCAGGGGTTGGAGGTCGGGGATGGGGAGTGAATGCTTAATGGGTATGGAGTATGACTTGGGTGATGAAGATGTTCTGGAACTAGAAAAATTCAAAATACAGAGTGCCTCTGAGAAGTTTTAAAGTTGGTTTTAATTGAAGGTCAGTGTTCTCCATGATGAAAGCGCCTGCAGCCCACTTGTCTCTCTCCTAACAGGGGATGAGCCACTCGGGGGAAGATTCCGGAAGCTGAGCCTTGAGCAGTATGATAACGAAGCTGGGGAGCAGCCCACCTTCTCCAAATGCAGCTGGGGAAAGACCACCAGTTCAGAACAGACTCCAGGCCTGGCGCCTTTTCTCTCCCCAGACAACGCCAAAGAGGTATACACACTGCTGCCCAGAGCCTGGCCTGAGCCCTGTCCCAAGTTGCCAGTTCAATTCCCCACCCAGCTTCGTCCCCATCTCACAAACATGGTTCCTCCCTGAAGGCAGGCCTGCCGACTGGGTGGGACCCCCCTCTTCCGAGAGAGGTGTTGCCAGCATGCACTTGGTCATCTGGGTCTCTGTGTTCTGATCTGTAGAATGGGGATTGAGGGGTGGGCCAAGTATGCGATGAGTCGGGAGGGTAGAGGTCTCAGAGCTCCGTGGGTGGACAACAGCGGCAAAGGGCAAACGGAAGTCATCTTAAAGGAGCCCGAGTCCCTGACCCAAAGCCTCCTGGGGTCCCTGGGAGGGAGGAGGAAGAAATATGGTCACTGTGGATATGTGTCCTTTGGGGAGATCTACAGAGTGTTTTTGACGAGCCATACTTAAGGCTTTTAATCAGAATTGAAGTAAGACAGGTCGGCAACCTCCCAACGATGAACCTTTTGAAATTAGGGTTTTGTTTATTCTCAAAAGTGGAGAAGTTGGAACCCAGAATAGACCAGAAAGGAAAGATGCTGAGAACCAGTGTTAATATCTGGGATATATCCTTCCAGCCTCTTTTCTATGCCTGTGTGTTTAATTCATTGGGTATTTTACATATCTGTAAACACATTACAGGTGACAAGTCTTTTATCCTGCTTTTTTCATTTAACACTCATTTCCCTCTGCTATATAAACTCTCTGCCATCTCTACTTACGAGCTGTGTAATGTTGACCACAAAACACTTCCTTCTGCCTTGACTGTTACTGAAGCTTCTTCCAGTTGTCCATGGCTGCCTCCTGTCTCCAGTCTTAGAAGAGGGCTGGCTCAGTGAGAGCCAGGAGCCCTAGCTGTCTGGAGGTGGCCTTCACCTGACTTCCACTTTGCCAATTTCAGGCAGTGATCACCACGTATCCCCCAGACCTGGATGTAATCGATGGCAGGATCTTCTCTCCAACCAACAGTGGCAGTGAGTCCATCTCTCCCACCCCTGCATTTCCTGTGTCTCCAGAAACGCCATATGGTAAGATAAAAGCAGAGCTCCCTGTGTGCAATCCCACCCCTTCAGAGCAGAGAGGGGGACAGCTCCTCACTCTGCCTTCTTTTCCAGGGATAACAAGCCCACGTTTCTCTCCGTTCAGCCCATCCGCGCCACAGACGGGCAGCCCCAGCGCTCTGTATAAAGGAGCTCATGGTAAGACACCCACCTCCTTTCCTCTGCTGTGGACGTCCACTCATGCAGAAATATTTCTACATGTGTCACACCTAAGAAATGTGGTTCTGGCTGGGGAAGATGCAGGGACACAGCCTGCAGCCTGCTGGGGGTAGGAGTGGCATTGACTATTTCCTTCTGTTCACTCAGCACTTTCAAGTGTTGACGGGTAGGGTCGTGGTGTTCTCAGCAGCCGAACATCAATACTTTTCACCTTCTTGTAGCATTACGTGGAGTTGAAAGAAGAAACGGAAACACCCGACCCACCCTTTTCAGAGAAAGTCAGGGCTACTTTAGGAGAGCAGTGAGCTCCCCACTCTGAAAGACAGGGCTGCCCTCGCCCCTTGCCTGCTGCAAGGCATCCCGTCTTTTATGTTCACAGAGCCCTGTCCTGACTCCTTACGTCCTCAGCCACCACCCTGAATCTCCCCAGTTGAGTGGCCACTTCGGATTTGTCTGCTGCACCCTGCCCCCACGTCTCCCAGCACTTCACATACTTGTGGGGTCTAGTTAGCCTGTGCACCGGCCCTGGGAAGGGAGCGTTAACATAGTGGTGGTGGGTTACTCAGCACTCCTTCCTGGTATGGACATTGCCCAGCTCCCTTGAGACTCCAGGACGGCCTTGCCCTGGGCAGGTGGAGGGGGGATGGAGCCCAAGCTGAACTTACAGTTTAGAATCGCTCATCTCTGTAATTGGGGATTCCTGCTGTTCTGCCCTGGGGAAGGTGAGTGAGGGTTCCCTTTGCTGCTCATCAGATGCGCTTTGGTGGGAGGGGGAAGCAGACTTTGTGTTTAAATACCGTCTTTTATGCAGAGGAAGTTGTAGTGATGACAGCTAGCTCCATTTTCCCTCTTTCTCCAGAGAAAACAAGATCTGTGTATCATTTAATAGGAGGGCCATTTTTCTTCCAAAGTTTCCTTTAAGGTTTTAGGTTGCTTGCATGTCTTGGCTATTATAAACAGTGCTGCAATGAACATTAGGGTGCCTGTATCTTTTTGGATCATGTTTTTCTCTGGATATATGCTCAGGAGGGGGGTTGCACGGTCGCATGGTAGAGGAGCTGTTTAATCTTTTTTTTTTTTTCTGAATGAATTTTGATCATTTTAATAAATATATATCCAGAAAACCTCACTTTATTACAGCACATTCATATACAAGCATCTATCATCTAAGTTTTCAACATCAAATGTTTATCAAATATTGAAAATAAAGGACAAAACATCACTAGACTATTCAGCCATAACACAAGAACGGGTTTTAAAAATTCCTTCTGAGTCATCCATATTTTCATATTGGCAATCCTTGAGGACGTTTGCCCAGGAAGAGCTCAGAGACATACACACAGCACTGACTGGGGGTCCCATGTGCTTGGCAGTGTATGGGGGGTATGGCTGACCCCTGAGACACAGTGATGGTGGTGGTGGCTCCCATGTAGGGACTGTATTCAACCCTCTTCTTTACAGCAGGGTTTCTTTTTCAGTCTTATTGTGATGTGTGATGGGGAAGAGCCCTGGACAGAGTGGTGGCACTCTGCCAGTTCTTATTGGTTGTTTACCCGGTGAGGAGATCTGAGGGTTTGAAGGATGAGTAGGATTAAATAGGAGTTAACTAGGTGAATGGAGAAATAGCAGGCACAGGCCCTGTGGCAGAGGGCCCTTCAGACCAGGAGAGGATAGAGACCAGGGGTCTGCAGGGCCCTGGAGGTATGAGCAGAGGCCCAGCCACAGCTGTTCTCTGTAGCTATGGAAGGTAGTGGTATGGCATCTGCAAGCAGTGCTAGGTCATTACCAAGGCCTGAGACAGGGAGGCAACTGCTCAGGCTTCTGTTTTCATATATTGATCCGTCTGCTGTATGTAGAACAGCAGTTGGAGTGGGCAGTGGGGTGGAGCAGCTCTGACAAAAATGCTTTCAGAAAGGATGGGGAAAAGTGTGTTGGATTTGTGGGAGATTCACAGGTCAGGTAGTGTAATCAACTGACTCTATCAGAATGGATTTGAGCTTTGATAACTATTTTTGATTTTGTTGCTATTAAGATGTCAGTTATGTTCTGGCTTCTTTTAGTTAGTATGCAGCTAGTGTAGCACTAACCACGTAAAATTCCTCTGTGTGTGTTATTCCATCAGCCTGAACTTGGTACCAGGTTAGTCAGTATAAGGTCTTCCCAGGTGGTGCAATGATAAAGAATCTACCTGAAATGCAGGAGACCTGTGTTCAATCCCTGGGTTGGGAAGACTCCCTAGAGAAAGGAATGGCTACCCACTCCAACATTCTTGCCTGGAGAATTCCATGGACAGAGGAGCCTGGCAGGCTGCAGTCCATGGGGTCGCAAAGAGTTGGACATGACTGAGCGACCAGCGCTAGTCTGCATAAACCCAAATGTGTCAGTTTATTTCCCAGCCAGCAGACAAGTGTCAGGGAGAAACAGCAGGACACCAATTAAAGGTGGTAGAGACATTTTATTTGGTACTATTGGAGCAGGGTAAGGAGCTGAGCTCAACTCCTAATGCAGCAGAGACAGCCCAAGGGGTCAGGGGATGAAAAGTTACCAAGAGGAACATCGAGGAGAGGGAGATTATTGCCAAACTGGCTCAGCAGGACCCTGCTGAAGATAGGCTTGAGCATCAAGGGTGGGGATGAGGAGCTTCATCAGCGAGCAAGCAGAGGAGATGACTCAGCAGAATCCTTGCCAAGACTGGGCCCTCCAAGGACAGACATCAGAAGCCAAGGTTGAGGTGTTGTAGAGAAGCTCCAGGAGCCTATCTCGGGTTTGGTCAGGAAGGGAGAGTTTGGTCATGGGAGAGGCCTGTGGTATCCCCTCTCACCTGGCATCTCTGCCCTCTGCTCGGGGTAGCACACATTCTGTCCTGTGCCCCTCCAGGTCCTGTGGCACTTAGTTTAAGCCCCTAGACTCCAGTGCCAGGGGTCTCAAGAGCCTCCTGACTCATCCCAGGTCACATGCACCTCATTCCCACCCCTCACCTCTGCAGTGAACAAGTAAACAGAAAGCATGCTGAAGTTTCTTGGTGATAGATGGTGGGTCAGAACCCACCCCCTGTTATGTTCCTGTTGCCCGTGCCTGTGTCGAGACAACTCCTCTTTTAAGTTACAGTACTCACTCCAGGAAAGTGAGGGATATTTAAATGTTTACTCAAATAATGAATACTTAAATATGAATTCAAATATTATTGAATTATCCTAAGCAGTGTGCTGTAACTCAGAGGAGATGATAGCTTCAAGGACTGTGGCCAGGCAGCGGGAGATGGCTGGGCCAGTGTGGGCATTGGGAGGACAGCTGGCGCCAGGGGCTGGACCACGTCACAAGGGTCTGACGCTACCGTGAGCTCTGTGAGTAGACCAACAGGTCCTACCCACCTAGGACCCTCAAGCAGGAGCCTGGAGTGGCTCCCCTTGGGACTGTCTCCAGTGCATCCCTGACACAGCCTACATTACTCCCTAGGAGACATACATCTCTGGGAATGCTCTCTTAGAAATCCCAGGTATGAGTCTGTGATATTGTGATTTATAATAAGAAATATATATTTAGTTTTATTACTGCCACCAAACTCCTAAAGCTTTTGGAATTTCTTAAGTGATGAGAACATAAATGTGATTTTTATCTTGTTAAGGAGATGACTTTTGGAAAAGACGGGGGCCATATTGCCAAGGGAACTGACCTTGTGATTAGAGAGTTGGAACTCTCGGTTTCCCCCTCCCCACAACCTCCAAGGAGGGGAGAGGGCTGGAAGTTGAACCAGTTGCCAGTGGCCAATGATTTAATCAACCCTGCCTATTTAATGAAGTCTGTAGAAAAATACCAAAGGACAGAGTTCAAGGAGCTCCTCAGTTGGTGATTGCCTGGAGATTTGGGGAGAATGAGGTGCTTCGAGACAGCATGGCAGCTCCATGCCTTTTCCTCTCTCTCTAGTCTGGCTGTTCGTAGTTATGTCCTCTTATGATAAACTGATGAGTGAAGTGTTTCTCTTGAGTTCTGTGAGCCACTGTAACAAATTATTGCAACCTGAGAAAGGAGTTGTGAGAACCTCTGATCCTTGGCTGGCTGGTCTGAAGGGAGGACAGTCTTGTGGGACTGAGCCCGTAGCCTGTGGAGTCTGATGCTGTCTGCATGGATGATCAGAGTCGAGTTGAATTGTAGGACCCCAGGCTGGTTTCAGAGCATTGCTTGTTGGTGTAGGGATCCACCCCGGGCATTGGAGTTGGGTGCAGAACATTTTAGAGCCCCAGAAGGAAATGTGTTTCTTGAAAGCAAAAATATTAGTAAGAGATTAGGTAAAGAGGTTCAACCTCCAAGGAGGGGAGAGGGCTGGAAGTTGAACCAGTTGCCAGTGGCCAATGATTTAATCAACCCTGCCTATTTAATGAAGTCTGTAGAAAAATACCAAAGGACAGAGTTCAAGGAGCTCCTCAGTTGGTGATTGCCTGGAGATTTGGGGAGAATGAGGTGCTTCGAGACAGCATGGCAGCTCCATGCCTTTTCCTCTCTCTCTAGTCTGGCTGTTCGTAGTTATGTCCTCTTATGATAAACTGATGAGTGAAGTGTTTCTCTTGAGTTCTGTGAGCCACTGTAACAAATTATTGCAACCTGAGAAAGGAGTTGTGAGAACCTCTGATCCTTGGCTGGCTGGTCTGAAGGGAGGACAGTCTTGTGGGACTGAGCCCGTAGCCTGTGGAGTCTGATGCTGTCTGCATGGATGATCAGAGTCGAGTTGAATTGTAGGACCCCAGGCTGGTTTCAGAGCATTGCTTGTTGGTGTAGGGAACCACCCCGGGCATTGGAGTTGGGTGCAGAACATTTTAGAGCCCCAGAAGGAAATGTGTTTCTTGAAAGCAAAAATATTAGTAAGAGATTAGGTAAAGAGGTAATTTACTATCAACCCTTATGAAGGCAAAAGAGAGAATTATGAAGTGCAAGATGTAAATTACTGTTATTCCTATCTGAAAGGCTAAGTAGTCTTGATGACATTTTTGAAATAAATGGGAAAAAAAATGAAGAAAGGCCTCAATGAAAGTGTATGATTCTGATATAGCTCAGCTTCCAACTTTGAATAATAATAAGTTTTTTTTTTTAATCGAGATAAAATTCACATAAGTGAACCATTTGTAGTGGACAGTTCAGTGGCATTTTGTGCATTCACAATGCAGAGGACCATCATCTTTAGTTACAGAACATTATCTTCACCTGATGGTTTTACAAGTGGGGTTTAGGGAACATTTGGGGAGCTTTCAATGAACACGATTAACAGCATTAGTTTACTGAAAGGGAAGGCCTTTATACATTTTGCAACTTATAGTTCGCATACCCATGTTTCTGAGAGGAGGGCTGGTGTTTTCAGGGCCCTGCCTGGGGCTGTGGGTGGTGATGTGAACGTGGAGGAGGGGCTTTGACCCAGGACTGCTCTGAGCTGCAGGAAGGAGGCCCTGGCCTGCAGGGTATGGGGTTTGCTGTTGAAATCTCTTGAAGTTGGTGTCAAAGGGCAAAAATGGGTGACATTTGCTGCAGGGCGGAAGAAAAGGAGTATCCAGGAATGTCTTGAGAGAGATTAGTTTGAGGCAGTGCTTTATTTTTGTTTTAAAAAAAAAGTTGTCATTCTTCAAAGCTTGACAAACTGTAAAATACTTTTCCCAGACCTCCCCTTTCTTCCTGTACCCAGCTCTGTTTTGTTTAGAAATTTTATGAACTTTTAATGAGAATGTTTATAATAGGAATAAAAACATGTGCTGAATGTGAACATGTGTGACATTTATGCAAGTCCCTGATTACTTTGAATTTTGCAGAACCTAAAAACTGATATGTGTGTGTGTGTATATATATATATATGTATATATAACATGTTTACATTGAGGTACATATGTGTATGTAGCTATATATAGGAAGGCCCACATCTGTATACACATGTGGTATACTTTGCATTCTGTGCAAAAGGACGCTTGCTGGTCATTGTGGCCCAGTGTGACTGCCAGGGTTAGTCACTGTTGTTCCCCCCACTGCCATCCCAGATTTAGAAAATGAAAAAAGGAAACTTGACTGCTTCAAAATATATTTAAAAATAAACAGCAGTGTTAGGCGGCTGGAGGTCAGCCTGCAGCAATGGCCTGTGAATGTGTGGTCAGCAGTCTGCAGAGATGAGAACACTCATTCGCTTGAGTGGAATGAAGCTCAAAACATACAAGATGCTGGCATCCTGTGCTGACACCTCATCCACCAAACAGACCGGCTTGGAAGGGTCCCCACGTGAACTGACGATTTCCCGATTGTGATGAATGCCATCTTTTGTTTGCTTCTTTGCGTTTAGAGGAGTCTTTGTTTCTCTAAATTTATTTTATCAGCTCATGTCATCCTCCATCTGGTGGACTGCTCTTGAATCTCAGCCTATTAAACTTATTCTGATGTGCCGCCAGTGGGTTTTTGCTGCTCTCTTAATGCTGAGCCCCACAGGCCAGTGGTCTGGGAGCAGGCCCTGGGGTTGGTGACAGACACATGTGGGTCCTCAGTCACCACTCTACAGTTCTTGTACTGGTTACAAACCTCTTAGACAGTTTTTAAACTGAAGCAAAAATAATAATAGCAGTATTGTGTGTGATATTGGGCTTCCTAGGTGGCTCTAGAGGGGAAGAACCTGCCTGCCCATGCAGGAGATGTCAGAGACAGGGGTTTGATTCCTGGATGGGGAAGATCCCCTGGAGAAAGAAATCACAACCCATTCCAGTATTCTTGCCTGGAGAATCCCATGGACAGAGGAGCCTGGCAGGTTATGGTCCATAGGGTTGCAAAGAGTCTGAAATGACTTATCATGCACACACACACACACACACACACACACACACACATGCATGACATTGGACAAGTACCCCAAACTTGTCTCACAATATGGTTTTTAAG